ATCCCATTCGTCTCCCCATGTTACGTTAAATAATCATTCCATTTTCCCATCATCACTTGTTAAATACCTTGGAATCCTTCTTGATCCTAAACTCAACCTTAATTCTCATTCCAAACAACTCAAATCCAGATCCCGTCATTTCCGTCCTTGCCAAACATCCATTTACAAATCCATATCACGTTTTATCCTTGACTACGGTTTTCCAATGTCGAAATTCTGTCCTAAAAAACCTGTCCGTATCCGAACGTTCCGCCCTTCATATCCTCACCAAAACACAACATCCTAATCTACACAATCCTCCCAATGATCTTCTGTTGTGTCCAACCACTTTATTATTAATTAATGATATATAAGTACTATGTGCACTCTGTATCTATGTAAGTACAGTCTTAGGGCAATCAAACTCTTGGGTTTCTCATACTTTGCTAGTTTTACAACCAATTGATGTAACCTTCTTAAAAGGGTTTGTTTCAAGTTGGGCAGTAACTATAAAAACTATGCCATCCACAATTAACCACCACAAACAATTGTAAGATTCATCACCCTTTTGCAAATTAGCCCCTACCCTTAGAATTACGTCTTCTTACATATAAGACGACACTTTTGTTATTTTAAGTTAGTCTTTGTCCTAATTAGTCCGGGACTCAATTGAGTCCTAGGAAGAACCTAGTCCTAGTAATAGTTCTAGTTTACACTACTTTTGACCAGCAACCTATGCTTGTAGCAACTTGAAACTAGATTACGACACTAAAGCATCTAAGTGTTAAACAAATACTATTAAGTACACTAATTTTAATCTAGACTCTTCCATAAAACCCACTAGGACTCCACATCGACAATACAACAAATTATTCCACAGTGTCCAGAGATATTCCATCCTGGGACACGACATTCCTTTACCAAAATTTCGTTTTTTCTTTTACTTTACTTACGTAATTCCATTAAGTACAAGACTAGAATTGCATTTAATTGTATATCCCTTTCATTTCAACTATCATACAATTATTACGAGAGGAATAAACTGAAATAAAACGACTGTTCTTTTTTTTTTGTATTCATTCTTTCTTTTATTTCAGACAAACGAAACAGAAAAAAAACACTTCCACAGACAATTCCCATTATTATGTAATTAATTAATTGTGAAAACAAACAACAATATATATTTATATATATAAAAAAAGAAAAGAAAGAGGTGCAGGACAGGAGTTGTTGCACACTTTCTTCTTCGATTATTATAATTATTTTCTTTCTTTTCTCTCGAATCCGGATGGAAAGTATTAAATTCATCGAAAAACAAACAAAAAATAATAATATTTGGTATCAGCATAGAAAAAACAATTGTCCTTTTCTCACATCCACTTATTATTATCAATAATAATAATATATATAAAAAAAACTCGCATATTAATCATTAATTAATTAATTAATTAAACAAGAATGACAATAGTAGAAGCATTGCACATCGACAATTATTATAATAATAATAGTAATATAATATATAATATTTATACAAAAACATGGATCGATGTTGTTGTTTTAAGGTTTTTGTTTTGTTGCCTCACACAAAAAATTGGGGGGAGGGGGGGAGTTGGCTTTGAATAAAAATATAACATTTATTACAAACAAACGTTGCGTAAGGGGAGAATCCACTGGAATTTTATAAAAATTAAACGAAAAACGCGCAAATCTCTCTTTCATAATTCTGTGAGGAATAGAAGAAACGTATACACTATAAATTATTTATATAACATATATAAAAAAAAAAAACATATTAATAATTAATGAATTAAATTACAATAAGATAACAAATCTTTAATTTTTTTTTTCCTGGTCGAAATAGTTACAATATATATAATTTAATAGAACGGCGATAGAACTCTTTTTAACTATTCCTTTCTTCATTTCCTCGTTTCTTCGAAAAGCGAAAAGGAAATCAAGAAACGTCTAGTTGAATTTAAACTAAATTTAATCTAATATAATGAACGTAAACTTTTCTAACAAAACGAAAATAATAAACAGGATTAGCTGATTAGTCGGAAGACGACATTGCCAATGTCGTCTTCCGACATTTAACCCGGTCGCCAATGATAATGTGAACAGAAAATGAGCTCGCTTTTTGCAAGCGAATGCCTTCTTGACTTTGACGCACTACAAACTAATATATTTATATTTACAAATCAAATTTATCTATTACACACAAACAAACAAACAAAAAAAAAACATGATAAATATTTCTCTTCTCTATATAATATATAATAATAACATATATATATATATTTATGCAGCTTATATTTACACCAATAAAACAAACGTTTTCCAAAAGAACTCGTACTTTCGAGTAGGAGTTTAAAATGTAACTCGCTCCATCAGGAGATGCGTCCGCAAAACAGAAGCAAAGACTGAAATCGTTTCCAGAAACATGAAGGCACATGCGAGAGAACCTTAACATCTTAAGTACAAAAATATTCATTTATATATATATAAAACAAGCCTTCTCCGCGCGTTCTGGCTTTGGTTTTTCGTCCGATCCGAAGATTCAATTCGCTTTAATGGTACATATAATCTAAATATATATATATGAAAATACATCTCTTCGCAATATATTAACTCTTAAAATATCTTATTTTCTTTCTCCGCTCATCATAATCATCAATATACATAGATTTATATTTCGTGTGTAAATGGAATGTACTTTAATTTCGTTTCGGTTATTTGCACTAATTGTTGTTTTCTTTTCTTCTCTTCTCAAGAAATGGAAGACTCAGCTTCTTACAAAGTATCAATTCTTTTAACCAAATCAATTGGCTAAACAATAATAATATATATATAAAAAAAACATAATATATTAAACAAAAAAACAATAATTATACTATATCGTTTTTGTTAGAAATATTCTAGCCATTACGAAAAAATAAAAACAAAATATATTCATTCAATAACAAGGAGAAATAATAATAATAATAATAGAAGGTATTATTTAAAAAATAATAGTAGTTCATGTAATTATAATAATAATTAATTAATTAATTTAAAAAAAAAAAGCAAAAAATGACTTCGTTTTGTACTCTTTAAACTCTAAACAATAATTGTATTAAAAAAAATCTGTCATCTAGGTGTTGTTACTTTTTTTTTTTTCGTTTTTGTTTTGTTTTAATGTGTTTTTTTTTTAGTTTTTCTTGACCAAATGCGGATGTGTTCTTGCGACGATCGCCTGCAATTTCGCGAGTTGATTGAGGAGGCTGCTGTTCGAGCCCTCGAGATTGTCGATCTGCTTCCTGTAGTCGCTGTTCTCCGTCACCAACAGCTCGACTTTCCTCTCGAGTTGATCCATGTACTCCTTCTTCTTCCTCCGGCTTTCCTGCGCCGAAATCTGATCCAAGAAGAGGGAATAGTGTTAGTTATCTATTGAAATTTATAACAACAACAAAAAAATCTTTACCTTATTTTTGATTTTCCTCCTGATTTTCTTGAGCGACTTCTCCTCGGCTTTGGTCAAAGGTAGGCGGGTGGGGACTGGGTAACCTTCCGCGATGAGCGTCCGCTTCTCTTCCTCCGTGAGCATCAGAGTACCCGTGGATCCTTTCTGTTATTGGTTAATTAGCAATGAGAGAGTTGTTATTTTTTTATGGTTTTTTTTTTGACTTACTGGTTGACTGCTGATGAGCGGCGTGTGGATGGGCTGCCTCGTGGTGTAATGGCTCAAGAGCACTCGAGCTGTGGTTGTGGAGGATTTCGTGCGGACAACTACCGTCGCCGGACTGGCGGCCGATGAAGAAGGTTGCGATGTGACGGTGATGTTGTCCTCGCTCTCCTCGCTGCTCGAGCAGGACGGCGGTGTCGGCGGTAAGCTGAAGCTGCTTCCCGGTTCCGTTTTGATGTTCGGAAGTTTCGCGCTGGTGAAGATGTTGTTGTTCGCCGCAGTAAGCATTATGTTCCTGTGCTTCAATATACTTTTCGGAGGGCTTTTCTGCACGTCCAAAAAAATGTTAATATTTAGTATGCAGATAATTATGATTTGAGTTGTACCATTTCTACGTCTGTATTGAAGAAGGCGTCCACTGAGCAGGTGTCCTGGTTCAAGAAAGAGCTGTGTTGCGGGGACGAGGAGCACGACGAGTCCGATTCGCTGACGGGTTCATCCTTGATGTCGATCTCGTCGGAGGAGAGGCGACCGCACGCTTCGCTCGCCGATATCGCGTTGAAGCATTCATCGTCCATGTCTGAGAACACTGAAACTATCCATCAAATAAAATTGTCCACGACGATCTTCGTGTTCCTCTTATTTACCGTCCATCCGCGTCGAGGAAATCGGAGATTCCGGCAGAGAGTCTCCGTCTGAGGTGAGGCTGTACGAATGCTCGGTCTTGATGGGGCGATTCCCCAGCACCGCGTCCGTCATCAGTTTGTCGTGAAGAACGACCGGAAGCTTCTCCAAGAAGCTCCACTCCGCAGCCAAATCGTTAACTATGCTTCCATTCAACCTCATGACATCTTGCATCGTCTGAAAAACCAAACCAAATCCAATATAAATATATATAATCTCAGTGTCTTTATTTCTTATATTTTAGTTCATTTTGATCGTTTCGTTAAACCAATATAAATAAATTGCATGTTGTTTGATGTACAGTTCGTTTATCAACCCAAAATCGTGAAGGCTTCGGATTGGAATGCAACACGAAGATCGGACGTGTCGGAGCGAGACGGACTCATTGTAAAATAACACCGAGGAGAGTGGAATGTTTGCAATGGCTTTCGGAATGTTAAAACGTATTATTGTAACGGGATAAGCCCGTTTTCGTTCTCCGAAACGAGTTTCGTATTTACTTCACATCGCTGAAATCCTCATCTTCGGATTTACATACGCCATTAACATTTTGCGTCAGAGTTGGCGGTGGTGGGTTGTCGATAGCGGATTTTCCTCACAGCCGCCTCCTCATTCTTTCTCGCTTATTTTCATCGGGCCGGGGGAAACCCTAAGACATATCCGAGCTGACGTAACCGACGCGCCGTCGTTCCGCGAACTGCACGGATCCTGTTTTTTTTTTCCTTTCTTCAAAATGTTCTACTACTATTTCTAGAGAAACTCTCTAGCGCGCGCAAGAATAGATTCCACGAACATAAATTTTGTACTAGCCAAATCACGACCAGCCCAATAATATACATGCAACAAAATTTCCCATCTTTAGTAAACATAGCGTAATTTCACACTTTATCTTGTTTACTACAAGCTCAAAATGGAAAAATCTAATTTGAGTCAAAGTTTATCATCCCCTCAATACAATTAACTTTTTTCTTATTTTTTTTTTTTTTAAATTAATTGCAAAATTTCCTCGTTCAATTAACTATATATTATTCTTTTAATACTCGGATCCGATTGTACTCTAAAACTCTCCACAATGGCAAACAATAGTCCATTGTTTCGTGGTTACTACATTTCTGCTTCTGCGGATTTCATTTAGTCGCATTTTTGTTGTTGTTGTTGTATTTAGCAATTTACTTTAGGCATATCTAATTCACCAACAACATCTAAACATACGTATAGAATAACCCGAGTAAATTTGCGGCGAGAAACCTTGGGCTAGCGCATTTTCCAAATCACGCAACAATAGATACACATATTTTTTTCTCTCTGTTGCATATAGATTTTGGACTGGTAATTCCAGAAAACAAATCGTATAGGAAAACCTGTTTGTTGGTGTGTATTGGAAGTTAAGCGCGAGATGCGGGAAAGTCGAGCGAAATTCAAATAATTTTCACACTTTTCAGTTACAATTTATTAGTAAAAGTTGTTTTTTTTTCTCTTCATTGAAAAAAAAAAAAGTTGTTCATCATAGTTATTAGTTAACATTTAAAAATATTTTTTTCATAGTGACCCTTGTAAAAAATCTATACATGTCAATTATTAATTAATCAAGTGTGCGTTCATTTTTTTTTTTCATATAAACGTTTCAATTGTTATTTGTATTCATACCTTTTTAAACTACGTTGCGAAGGAAATGAATTTGATCGCTATGAATTTGAACTTTACGATGATTGCGAAATTATCGTTGCTGTAAAGTTTTTTGATGTGCCACGTAGCAGAAGGCGTTTGCTTTACTGAAGATTTTTTGTTGGTTAAAAGCCTGTACACAAGGTTGGCCACGTGTCACGCGTGGTTCGCGCGAACGCCGCCAGAGCAGCGGCGCGGTTCCAAAGATTACAATTACCTCTTCTTCCTACATAAACTACGTGAATTCAAAATTTCAAATATCTCATGTGAAGGTTCCTATCACATTTATTAAAATTGCAAAGCAATCGAAGCGTGAGATTCATACGAAAATCGATTACTTTCCTCATCTATCCTTGCCTCTTGTATTTGGGTATCGATCGTGCGAAAAATATTTAGAAGTTCAACGACCAACGAAATCGTACAGGTGTGTGTTTACCATTAGCTCTTCCACTTAGCGCTCCAAAATAATAATAATAACAATTCCAAGAAGAAGAAAAAAAACAATAAATACAAGTAGAGAGCGGAGAACATATTGCGATGTTCTCTCGTCCTTGGCGAAAATTAACTACAATTTTGTGTTTTATCAATAACCAAATGGAAATACATATTGCACGCGTTCTTATCGCTTCAAACAAGTTAAAAAATAATAAAATAAACTTGTGTTGCAGGGGATTATTCGGATGTTAGATTACGAGGAAAACAAATAGAGAAATGTGAAGCCTGTTTCTGGGACAACTCGAGCTGGTGGAATTTAATCGTCGCTCCGACACACACACACGAATTTGAGAGGTCAAAGGTTGCGGAGTTGACCCTTCTAACGTTTGCTGCATTCGTTTAATATGCAAAGAAGTTTCGAGCGCTCTGTGAATGCGAGAGAAGCGGAAGCGGCTTCTCCGTCTTCCTCTTCGCCAGAGTCTTAATTCAATTTAATTAGTATTTAAGACCGTCATACAATAAGGATAGCAACATTGAGAAAACAAGAACAGGATAATATGAAAATAAATGTTTGTTCGGCGGTTGCGCAAAGATGAAGCATTCTTCGGCGAAGAGTCGTCTCCTCGAGAGTTTTGTACCGGTAGAGTAGAGTAGAAGAAGAAGTGGTGGATAAGCAAGGTGAAGGTTTGGAAATCCTCGAAGCGTGGAAGTGAAACAACGACGTGCAATGTCAATGGACTTTGGCGAATCCATAATCCGCGCGCTCGCAGCATGTTCTCCACCAAACTGTTGTTTCTCCTTTCCATTAACGCCGGCCGGCGTATTCCATCCAACATATTCAATTAAAAAAAAACATCCTAGACGCCTGCCTTCAACTATCAGACACAATCTGCGACGCCATCTCTCTCGCCCCGGAATGCAGTCCTTGAGACTTTTTTTTCGTTCCAATTCGTAACAACAACCTCTTTAGCAATGCTTTTTTATGCATTTCATTTCGTTCTATTTGGTGTGTGTGTGTGTGAGTATTCGTTTTGCTGTACAGTTGATAGTGGTATCGGCTCGGAAACATTCGTTGCGGCGATATCAGCGGGCCGCGGATATCAGCGACGCTTTTTTTTGTAAATTATTACGCAATTACAACGACGAAATGGAAAACTTAAAGACCGGAAAAACGTCGTTTCTTCTTTTTTTATTTTGGTACCGGAAGTTCAACAAACCCTGCACGAATTTCACCTCCTCAGAATAGTTAACATTTCCGATTGGACACGCTGACCAATCGCATTAATATTTATGGACACAATCTACAAAGTTTTCTCACAGAAACTATCGATTTTTTTTTTCAATTCAAATTTGTATTTAAATTCATCCAATGACGAATTGACATTTGTAATATATCGATGACGTAAATTTATTTAAGTTGGTCACATGTGCAGTTCATCTGACAGCTCAGTTTTTCTGATGACAACCAATTCGAGGTTAATAC